CCTTTAATAAGGTTCAATACATTATTTACATAAAAGTAAATATATTTGGGGACGGTGTTACAAGTTCACCCCCCCTTATTTGGGATTTCGTCCCCGAAATCCGTGTGTCTAATCGAAAAGAAACGGGTATTGCTCCCTCATTGAGACCTCGGTCTCCCATGTTTCTTCTTCGACCCGATCACTCCTCCAAAGAACCTTTACCATAGGAATCTCCTTATTCCTAAGTTTCTTCACTTGTTGACCCACTATCTTCACCGGCTCTACCGCATATTGCAAATCCTCACGGATCTCTACTGGCGGTTTCTCAAGAATATGAGAGGGATCCCGTATGTACTTCTTGAGCATTGATACATGAAACACATCATGTATCTTCTCAAGTTCCGGCGTTAACTTGAGACGATAAGCCACGGCTCCAATCCTTTCAAGGACCTCAAATGGACCAATGTATCGGGGGTTAAGCTTTCCCCTCGATACAAATCGAATGATGCCCTTCCAAGGAGAAATCCTTAGGAAGACCTCATCACCGACTTCGAACTCCAACGGTCTCCGCCGTTTATCAGCATAACTCTTCTGTCGGTCCTGAGCAGCCTTCAATCTATCCCGAATGATCCTTACCTTGGCCTTGGTAATCTCAACCAGCTCTATCCCTTCGAGTTTGGCCTCGCCAACCTCGTCCCAACACAACGGTGTTCTGCACTTCCTCCCATACAATGCCTCATATGGGGGCATGCCGATACTTGCCTGATAACTGTTATTATAGGCAAACTCCACTAGGGCCAAATGCTTGTCCCAACTTCCTTGGAACTCCAAAGCACATGCCCTAAGCATGTCTTCCAAAATCTGTATCACCCGCTCGGACTGTCCATCGGTCTGTGGGTGAAAAGCTGTGCTAAATTTCAGTTTAGTCCCCAAAGATGCTTGAAACTTTGGCCAAAATCGGGATGTGAATCGTGGATCCCTATCCGAGACAATGGATATCGGGACTCCATGTAATCTCACAATCTCCTCCGTGTAAAGCTTGGCCAATCTTTCAAGAGGATAAGTAATGTTGATAGGCAAAAAGTGTGCACTCTTGGTGAGCCTATCAACCACTACCCAAACTGCATCATAGTTGTTCACTGTTCGTGGTAGCCCCACCACGAAGTCCATGGTCACGTGCTCCCACTTCCACTCTGGGATGGTGAGTGGCTGCAAAAGCCCTGCCGGGTGCTGATGCTCTGCCTTGACTTGCTGGCAAGTAAGGCACCGACTCACATACTCAGCAATGTCCCTCTTCATACCTGGCCACCAGTAACTTTCCTTCAAATCTCGGTACATCTTAGTACCTCCCGGATGCATAGCATAAGCTGAAGAATGAGCCTCCTCAAGTATAGATTTCTGGAGTTCCTCATTCCTTGGTATGCACACACGATCCTTAAACAATAACAGACCGTCATCACGTACCCGGAAGTTCTCAACGGGCCCCGCAAGGATCCTTTCACGGATCTTCTGACATTCCTCATCCATGGCCTGACTTCGACTAATCTCGCCCAATAGGGTGGGCCTAACCTCAAATTGAGCAATGAGAGCCCCGCACGTGGACACCTCCACGCGTGCCCTCAATGCCTGCAGACAAGTAAGTAACGTCCCTGACGTACTCTTCCTGCTCAGTGCGTCGGCCACTACGTTGGCCTTTCCGGGATGATAGTCGATGATCAAGTCATAGTCCTTGATCAACTCCATCCACCTCCTCTGCCTCATATTCAACTCTTTCTGAGTGAATACATACTTCAAGCTCTTATGATCAGTATAAATGTGACACGTCTCCCCGTAGAGATAATGCCTCCAAATCTTCAATGCAAACACCACCGCCCCCAACTCTAGATCGTGAGTAGGGTAGTTCACCTCGTGTTTCCTCAATTGCCTAGAAGCGTAGGCAATCACCTTACCGTTTTGCATTAGTACACATCCAAGCCCTTGGATGCTAGCATCGCTGTAAATGTCATACCCTATCCCCTGTATGGGTAGGGCAAGGACTGGTGCTTCGGTAAGTCGTTTCTTCAATTCAAGGAACCCCTTCTCACACTTGTCGTCCCATATGAACTTGGCCCCTTTCTTTGTGAGCTTCGTTAATGGGGACGCCAATACGGAGAATTTTTCCACAAATTTACGATAGTATCCCGCTAAGCCAAGGAAACTACGTATCTCTTTCACATTCTTGGGTCTCTCCCAATCCATGATAGCTTTTATCTTGGCGTTATCCACAGCAACGCCCGAACCAGATATGACATGACCGAGGAAACCAATCTCCTTGAGCCAAAATTCGCATTTAGAGAACTTGGCAAAGAGTTGCTTTTCCCTTAGCCGATCAAGTATAAGCCCCAAATGATGTTCGTGCTCCTCCTCGCTCTTGGAGTATATTAAGATATCATCGATGAATACTATCACAAATTGATCTAAGTATTCACTAAACACACGGTTCATCAAGTCCATGAATGCCGCCGGTGCATTGGTTAAACCAAATGACATCACAAGAAACTCGTAGTGACCATATCTAGTGCGAAATGCGCTCTTAGGTATGTCACTCTCCTTGATCTTCAACTGATGATACCCCGACCTCAAGTCAATCTTCGAGAATACTATGGCCCCTCGAAGTTGATCAAACAAGTCATCAATCCTAGGTAATGGATACCTGTTCTTGACCGTGACCTTGTTCAGCTGTCGGTAGTCGATACACATTCTTAGCGTACCATCTTTCTTCTTTACGAAGAGTACGGGTGCTCCCCACGGTGAATGACTGGGTCTGATGAACCCGTTGTCCAGTAATTCTTGTAGTTGGACCTTCAACTCTTGGAGTTCGGCCGGCGCCATTCGATAAGGAGGAATCGAAATGGGTTTGGTTCCCGGCTCCACTTCAATTACAAACTCTATCTCTCTATCGGGTGGAAGCCCCGGTAGGTCTTTGGGAAAGACATCCGGGTATTTGCACACGACCCGTACATCCTTGATGTCGACTTCCTTCTTGGTATCGTCCACCACGTAGGCAAGGTATGCGTGGCATCCCTTCCTCATCATCTTCCGTGCTCTCATCACGGATATTATACAAGCATTAGATTTCCCCCGATCTCCCTCGAAACATAGTGTGTTTCCTTGATCATCCTCGAGCTCCAACACCTTGGTGTAGCAATCTACTCGAGCATGGTGTTTCTCGAGCCAATCCATTCCTAGGATTGCATCGAACTCCAACATGCTTAGAGGTACGAAATCACAAGTCAAAGGTTGACCCGTCACTTCCACCTCGCACGACGGATAGTAATGATTTCTCTCCACGTCGTCTCCTAACGGTGTGGAGACTAGCAATGTTTGCGTCATAGGTGTCAATGGCACGTCAAGGCCCTCGGCGAACGCCTCACTCACAAATGAGCGTTGTGCCCCGGTATCGATGAGGATCCTCGCACACCTACCATTGATCTTTAATGTTCCTACATTTGTACACCATGTAAGATACATTTTCTAAGGTTTTTACACATCATTAGGATGTTATTTGGTTCATACTAATGTTTGGAATCAAACGGGGGTCCAAACGTAGAAGAACGGGGCGAAAAAATCAAGTTTCGGGTGCCTGGGGTCCACGCACGGCGTGCCTGGGTGGCACGCACGGTCGTGCGTGCGTGAGAAACTCGGAATCCGCCACTGCCGGCTACGCACGATCGTGCGTAGCTGGTCACGCACGATCGTGCGTCCTACGCACGGCGTGCCTTACCTGCACGCACGGCGTGCGTCTGCGCGGAAAACGGCCAGAGGCTACTGCCTCGCACGCACGGTCGTGCGTCTGAAGGTACGCGCGATCGCGCGTAGTTGTTTTTAGCCCGTTTCGCCCCGAATTCGCGGGGTTTGACCCCGGGGTGGCCCGCACCCAAACCCAATGACTCATATGACCCAAATAAGCCTAGAAATACAGGAAAATAAGTGTATTACCTGCAACGGAGTCCGGGTTTGCTCGTGCATCCGCCTCGGTCATTGCGTACACTCGTGCTTGGGTCCCGCCTTGATTTACGGACGCGGCATGACTTGTGGATGCGTTGCCTCTTCCCGTACCGCCGTTTGACGGTCCCGCACGGTTTCTTCCCGTCATGGTTCCTCCTCCGGATCCCGGAGCTCCTCCTCCCCCTAGTTGTGGGCAATTGGCCTTCATGTGACCCGTGTTCCCACATTGATAACACCTTGGGGGTGCATTGCATTTCCCAAAGTGATTTTTCGAACAATTAGCACACCTAGGGGGTCCCGTCTTTTGGGAGGAGGATGCATGCCACCGAGCATCCTTGTTCTTCTTTGTCGGTGGTGCCGGTGTTTTGAACGAACCGCCACCTCCACCGTGCTTATCCTTTCGTGCTTGCTCGGGCGGCCCCGAACTTTGCCATTTCCTCTTTTTCGCCTCCTCGGCGTCTCTCTCTTTTCTCTCATTCCATTGGGCCTCCCCGAGAAGGCCCTGCTCCACCACCTCACTGAAGGTCATGTGGCGCGAGTACGTAGCTCGGTCACGGATGTCCAAGAGTAGGGCATCCCAAAAGTGCTCCGTCATGCGGTTCTCATCAACCGCGTACTCCGGCAAGAACCTAGCCAAGGTTCTAAACTCTTGTTCCAGTTGCTTAACTGTGCCGCCCTCTTTCTGTTTGAGGTTAGTGTACTCTCTCCGTTTCACATTCACCTCGTACTCGGAGTAGTATTGAGCATAGAACTCTAGCTCAAAGTCCGCCCATGTTATTTCCCCATGGTACTTCCCTTCCACGCTCTCCCACCACGTAGAAGCTATCCCTTCAAGTAGCCGTGAAGCGACAGTCAACTTCACGTCCGGTGTGATTTGCATGTCTCTTGATGCATCCTTCACCTTCTTAATCCAATCGGCGGCAACGGTAATGTCACCGGTGCCGTCAAAGGACCTACACCCCAAGGCCCTAGCCTCCTTGAGGTACTTGTAGATTCTCACAACAAAACCTCCTTCACGCCCACCTTGTGACGCCGCTGGGGTGGCCACGGAAGCTCCCCGGCTTCCTTGACCCGAACCACCACGAGAGCCACGCCTCGCTTGGCGCCTAAGGTCTCTCCTCAGTTTTTCTTTTTGATACCATTCAAGCAACTCGCCCATTTGGGCGAACTTGGCATCACTCTCTTCATCATCATCATCGGTGTACGTGTCACCCCCATCATACGGGGTCTCTTCATGCTCTGTCTCTGGCACGTAGGTTGAGTCGTAGTCTTCGGTGTTGGTCTCATACACCGAGCTCACATGGCCATCACTCACAGTTTGAGCTTGATGACCTCCACGGCTTCCACGGCCTCCACGGCCTCCTCTCGAACCCCGAGATGCAGCCCGGCTTCCCCTTTGGGATGCTACCGGCGCCTGCCCCCTCGGATTGTTCCTGGTCCTCATTCGCCTGCCCTCCATTTCTGAAAGAAATATGGATGAGTCATTAGACTCCTATACATGTCAACTGACGGAAGAACGTTACAGACACGTATTGGCCCAAGTCACTACCATGCCAATTGTTAAGGGTACCGTCTTAACAATTAGAGGCCTTGCAACTTAAGTACCAATAGTCCTATAAGCGTCAAAATACAATGCTCATGGTTTTCGGTAAAAACTCTTTTGTAAAATCTTTTGTGAGAGGTTGATTATATAGTTTAGAACTGAGATGGCTCTGATACCACTTAATTGTCACGCCCCAGACCGCAATCCAAGCGCGTGTACAACCGCCGTATAACTAAGTGACGTCACCCACGGGTCAACCTCACTTAATTACACAAGGCGTTCGAGAAAACAATCCATCCATACTCAGTAGTAAACATACATAACAACATCACATTAAACCAATGAATAGCGGAAATATTCAACGGTAAGTCATGGGCCACAACCGGCCGACAACATGGGCATGCAAGCCCCAAAAAAATAGTTTGTAGTAAAACAAATATCCATGAGCAAGTGTTCGGTAGTTTGAAAGAAAATAAGGAAGCACGAACCACGTCTCCCTGATTTGATATCACCCGTGAGAAGGTGCAAGTAGCAAGCTCTAGCTTCAACCTGAAAATGGTGGGGCCCCCCGAAGGGGTCAGTACAAGTACCGAGCGAGTAGCAGGCTAAATATAGAATAACTAGCGTTTCAAGTATAAGACCCAAACATAGGGTGATACTTAAATAAATAATCTTTCCCCCAAGTTATGAAATACTTATTAGTATATATATATACTTGGAAAATATCCGATCCGTAGATCACCATTTTATTCGGGAAAATAGTAATAGTCAATATTCTTGACTAAAAACCCCAACCCACCCATATACCTATGAGTGTATAGGACTCCTCCTTGTCCCTACTTGTATATCACAATCTATGAGTTTTAGGATCATAATCCTTGGATACTCCACCGGTTTGTGAGTGTTAAGGACTCATAAGTCCTAGGGTCCTCCACCAAGTTTGAGTGTTAAGTACTTTTAAGTACTAGGGTCCTCCACCAAGTTTGAGTGTTAAGGACTTTTAAGTCCTAGGGTCCTCCACCAAGTTTTGAGTGTTAAGTACTTTTAAGTACTAGGGTCCTCCACCAAGTTTGAGTGTTAAGGACTTTAAGTCCTAGGGTCCTCCACCAAGTTTTGAGTGTTAAGTACTTTTTAAGTACTAGGGTCCTCCACCAAGTTTGAGTGTTAAGTACTTTTTAAGTACTAGGGTCCTCCACCAAGTTTGAGTGTTAAGTACTTTTTAAGTACTAGGGTCCTCCACCAAGTTTTCCTATGATCAACCTCCTATCAACCTAGATAGAGTCTATATCATCCTTAGTTACTCATAACTAATCCAATACATAATTCTTATGTATCACAATCCATGCAAAGCCATGCATTTAAATAAATGTATAATTAACTAACATCAACCGATATTAATTAATCCATCATCCATCGGTCAACGTTGTCGTTGTCCGCCAATTCAAGCCTTGTTCATATCAACTTAATCATCATATAATTAAGTCAATAATACTCATTTGAGCTTCTTTTACACTTCAAGCTAATGTGCATTTTATATAATCTCTCATATCATATTTCATGCATAATCAATTAATTCTTTTCATACAACTTGATAATGTTGGCTAATCACATGTTTAAATATCTTTTAAACATCATTATGAAAACATATAACATTTATTTAGGTAATCTCATAATTAACCCAAAAGTTATAAGATATTAAGCCGTCCACTCACCTTGAACTAGCGTATGAAGTTCTACCCCTCTTGGTTGAACTCCGGTGAAACTCCGGCGACTTTCGGTCAACTCCGGCGACAACTCCGGCGACTTTTCCAACTTTGTGAAATCACTTGAAATACCTTTCACAAGTTCCTAACAAGGTTTTATAATCATAAAACCCATATTAATACAAATAACCTCAAAAAGGTTATTTTCCGGTGAACCGGTCGTTTTGGCTTCTAAGTCCGTTCTTGGATATGGAATCACTTTCCAACCCATTAATCCATACTTATAACATGTAGAACCCTCTTAAGGATCCTTCACATGATATATATCTCATATGGTAGGAGAATAATAAAGAAAAAGTTATAATAAGGTCATTACCTTAATTCTACACACCTTTCTTAGCCTTTTTCCTTCTTTAAACTCCCTCTTTTTCCTTGTTTGAGTTTGAGCTCGTGTTCACCTATGGAAAATGGAGTTGCAGAGCTTCCTCTCTCTTCTCCTTTGGGTCTTGGCCGAGTGTGATAGGGGTGGGTGAGTGAGGGGTGTGGTTTTTGTCTCCTTTGGACAAATGAGTGTAGGAATGGGGTCTACTAAATGTCAAAGGGTGTCTCCCCCATCCTATCAATGTTTATTCAGCCCATCTAGCACTCATCCAGCCCCTAAAGGTTGACAAATTCGTGGGGTGGCCCCCACTCATGTGGGAGGTCATCCCTTTGTGTCCCGATGTGTACAATCGGTCCCGAAAGTTGTATTTTTCGGACTGTTTTAAACATATTTTATTCTATCGGGTCAAATAAAATATATTATGGGCTCTTACTCATTATGACATGTATCATGAATATACATTCCCCAACTTTAATTTATAAGTCTCCGAAATCCAGTTCGGCTGTTATCTGTTAAATTACCAGTACCGGTAATTTGGGCTTCTTTTGACCAATCGGTCAACTCCGGGCCTTTCCACGACCCAAATAAAATATCCACCACTATATAAATATTATCTTGACCAAGATGAATAAAATATGTGGTCTCGGGAGTATCGGGCGGCCCCCGCTCCCGGTGTGGGTCCCACGTGCAATTTACTATTCACGCGAAAGAAATAATAAAAATTTACAACTTCGTAAATTCATTAATCCCTTTAATAAGGTTCAATACATTATTTACATAAAAGTAAATATATTTGGGGACGGTGTTACATATGCCATCATCACAACATGTGGTTAATACTACGCCGGTCAATTCTTTTACGGGCGGACAACCGTGGTTGTTTGATACTGGAGCGTCACATCATGTAACATCGGCAGCCACCTCACTCCCGTCCTATACTGAATATGGAGGCCCTGATGAGGTCCGTCTTGGTGATGGTAAGGCGCTGTCAATCACTCATACCGGTTCCAGAGCCGTGCGGTGCTTGAGGCGGATGAGGCACTTGTCTCAGGGTCCAAAAAATTGTTAAAATTTTAGGGCCCACAATTTTAGATATTTCTTTAGTATATATATGTATTAAATTTACATATTGGGCTTCCTTTTTGCCTGTTAGAGCACCAGTTAGAAAGAACCTGGAGATATCATATCACACTCACACACACTATGTGCTGATATATGAGAAGGAAATCATATTCTATTCAGGAACTCTGCTTTTGAATTACAGGAGGATGCCTTTATATATAATAGGCATTGAAACATCATTTAATTGGAACATTAAAGATAGAACTTTCTGGGAAGTCTTAACATGTATCTAGCAACTCTTTAGTTTCCCACAATTATTGGGAAAAGGTGCAAATAGGCCCATGTACTAACAAAAAAAGGTCAAATAAGCCCTTGTTTAGGAGGCTCTGTCCGGCCGTCGCCATTTGGGTTGGTTCCCGGTGCAATTTTTTGATGAAATTTTTTGAGCATCTTATTCATTAAGTCTAGTTTACTCATATCAAATTTCAGCTAAAACTTCAATCGGGAAGGCATTCAAATGAATTCTTGAAGATAACTGCGCTTCTAAGTGTGTAGTTATTTTCAAGAATTCATTTAAATACCTTTCCGATTGAAGTTTTAGCTGAAATTTTGTATGAGTAAACTAGACTTGATGAATAAGATGCTAAAAAAAATTCATCAAATGACGACGGCCGGACAGAACCTCCTAAATAAGGGCTTATTTGACCTTTTTTTGTTAGTACGTGGGCCTATTTGCACCTTTTCCCCACAATTATTTGAATTAAAACTATTTCCCAACATTGCCTAACATTTGTCCGCTGACTCCGCTGTTGTACTTCAAAAAGGAAAACCCAAAAGTCCCCCAATTACTTTTGTTCGACCAGTTTAGAAGCGGAATAGCCATCAACGTACAAATGGAAAAGGGTTTTAAGGCGATTTGCGATTCTTTTGTTCTGGCCTAGACTAATTGATCGACAACAGGGCCTTAGCTAAGGTTAATTTGCGATTCCCTTGTTCCAATCTATAGACTTAATCAATCAACATCAAGGTTCATCTTTCATCTTCTTTGCTTAGCTTCTAAATTTCTAATATTTTTCTATTTAAAGCCATAAAAGGATTTATAGCCTACCAAATATCTATTTAGAAGGAATTTATTGAACATCTAGAATGTCGAGTTAATTAATACTTTTGCAGCTAAAACTCTCCGGCGAGTTGTACTTAATTAGTCATTTGAATACTTTGACAGTAATGTAATTTTTATTTAATTAGTCGTTTGTATGATGTTTAATCTTCAATTTCAAAGAAAACTATAGTAAAAAAATAAATGATGTATAGGGCCTTTAATTAATTTTGACTCAGGCTCGAGTTTTGGTAGGATCGGCACTGACCGGTTCCACTACCTTATCTACCAATTCTCGACCTTTAACACTTTCTAATATTTTATGTGTTCCTCGTATCCAGAAAAATCTTGTGTCTATTTCCAAATTGTGTAAAACTAACGATTTTTCTGTTGAATTTTTTTCCTCTCATTTTATTGTGAAGGATCGGATCACGGGGGCACCACTCATGAAAGGATTGAACCATAACGATGTTTATTATGCACCGTCCCGGAGTCAGCCTCAAGTCAACGTTTCTCAAGTTTCTATTTGGTCTCAATGGCATCATACCCTTGGTCACCCGTCTAGTCGTATATTTGAGTCATTAGTTCGCCAAAATAAAAGTGTCATACCATGTAATAATTTTAGTGATTCTCATTGCATGTCATGCTCAGTCAATAAAAGTACCAAATTACCGTTTTTTAGTAACTCTATGAACGCAACGAGTCCACTAGAATTAATATACACGGATGTGTGGAGTACAACTCATGTGTCAATTACCGGGTGTCGCTATTATATTATCTTTGTGGATTATTACACTCGTTACATTTGGTTTTATCCACCTAAACAAAAGTCAGATGTCACTACAATTTTTCCGCAATTTCATCGTCTTGTGGAAAATTATTTTAATTCCAAAATTCGGAGTCTTTTTTCTGACAATGGTGGTGAATATATTAAACTACGTTCATATCTCAATCAAAATGGCATATCCCATTTTACTTCCCCGCCTCATACTCCTGAGCATAATGGGATTGCAGAACGTAGGCACCTTCATATTGTTGATACCGGTTTAGGGTTGTTACACTTTTCTGGCCTTCCGTTGCAATACTGGACCTATGCGTTTCGATCACACAGTGGTTTATCTCTAAACAATGCTACTCTGTATCAATGTCTTTATCGTCGAAAACCAAATTACGGAAAATTACATCCGTTTGGTTGTCTCTGTAATTATCCATGGCTACGGCCTTATTCTGCCACCAAAATCTCCCCCGATCAATACCGTGTGTATTTGTTGGTTACTCACTTTCTCAACCCGCCTATTATTGTTTGGATCCTTGTACAAATAAAGTGTATATCAGTCGTCATGTACGTTTTTTGCCAACAATTTATCCATTTCGTGTTCCTTCCATGTGCATGAGTTCGACTTCGTTACGGGAATCTATTCCCTTGCATGAAATTTTTGAGCTGGCGCCTTCCCTGGGTTCTGATCCACACGTATTTCCGAATATGCCTACTCCCTCGCATATAAATTTTTCTGGCCGTCCAACTCAACCCTTATCCCTCCCATCCCAATCACTCATAATACCTTCCACTACCGGTCAAAACTCCACAAATCAAGCACCCAATTATATCCCAACTACTCCCATATCAATAATTCCCACTCATCGTCCTTATCCCCTCCCTCATCCCAATCTTTAACCTCACACGTGACCTCTCCCATAATTCCTAGTCAACTCAATTTAATTTCCCAAACTCCACAACAACCTTCCCCACCCCCTGCATTTCCTATACGGCCAACCCGACAACGTGTCCCCAATCCAAAATATATTGGTGGACCGTTTGTCAATAATACTACACGCCATCCTATCCCCTCTTCCCTGAAACCTACGAGTGTTAAACAGGCTTTGGCTGATCCAAGATGGAAGGCTGCCATGGATGATGAGATGGCTGCACTTCAACGCAATCACACGTGGAGTTTGGTCCCTCGTACAAACCAACACCCTATTACATGCAAATGGTTATTCCGTATTAAACGGAATGCGGACGGCAGTGTGGCCCGTTTTAAAGCGCGTCTAGTGGCGCGTGGTTTTCTACAACAGCCGAGTAAGGATTATTTTGTGACATTTAGTCCAGTGACAAAGCCGGCTACCATTCAGATTATTCTCTCTATTGCCCTATCAAAGAATTGGCCACTTCGTCAACTAGATGTCTAGTGGCACGTTATCTGAGGAAGTTTATATGACTCAACCACCCGGGTTTCGTGATCCTACACATCCCCACCATGTTTGCCGACTCCACAAAGCTCTATATGGGCTCAAACAAGCACCTCGTGCTTGGTATCTTGAACTCTCCAGATTTCTTATTTCTGTCAGATTTCGTAAATCAAGAGCTGATCAATCATTATTTATTTTCTCACATCAAGGTATATTATTATATTTCCTTGTCTATGGGGATGATATTGTTCTTACGGGTAACAATAACTCAGCACTAGCGGCATTTGTACATCAACTCACCACCCGCTTCTCTGTTAACGACCTTGGTCCACTACATCATTTTCTTGGAGTTGAAGTTATTCCTCATGCTTCAGGTCTATTTTTATCCCAGAGATAGTACATCCTTCACATCTTAGAAACTAGGCGTATGGATGGTGCCAAACATGCAGTCACACCCATGAGCTCATCCAACCCACCACAACTCACGCATGGGACAACTACTACTGATTCTAGTCAATATCGAAGAGTGCTTGGTTTGCTTCAGTACTTAGCATTTACACGGCCGGACATTGCGTTTGCAGTTAACCGCCTCTCTCAATTCATGCATGCACCCACGGATGTTCACTGGACTGGTGTCAAATGAGTTCTACGCTATCTTAAGGGCACACTGGACTATGGGCTTGTTCTCACCCGTGACTCTCCTTTGACACTATCTGTGTTTTCTGACTCCGATTGGGGTGGTATACATGACGGTGGGAAGTCCACCACAGCTTATGTTGTCTACCTA